TTTATTTATTACGTTTTTAGCACACAACCCCGCAAGCTTTCTTAGCATGTACAAATATTGAGGCTAGTTTGAATCTTAACGTCATAATCAGTCAATTAGCCCGGCAATTCAAAACTCGTTTCGAGTACTTACAGCATTGATGTGAGGTCTCAGTCTTGGAACCTTCTACTCCATGGCCGCTTTCCTGCTCGCCCGTTATTGGCCTACCTTCATTGCGGAGGACAATGAATTCGATGTAACCTTTTTCACGACAACGTTTATGGCGCTTTAAGTTTGGCAAGGATGTTCAGTGGTTTCGAGGCCATTAGAATATAACCTCTGGGTTGTCTTCTCTTTCGCTTTGATTCTTCCTTTTCATCTAATCGATGATATTGCTCATTGATTCTTAGTCGATGAGAACTACTATAAGAGTCATGTGTCCAATTATTAGATCGACCGCGGTCTCTCATCCATTCCCTTCTCATGATTTATTGAGTGCTATAGCCACTGCATAATCCTTATAGTCTTAACTTTCCTGCGAGTAATTAACGTTTATCCATCTACCTTGCCTGTTCCAGGCTCTCGGTCAGTTATGATGATCAAAAAAGCAAGCGTGCGAGCGAGGAGTGGTCAGGGGACAAAAGTGAAGGGTGTGCTGTTGTAAGATTGCAAGAATACAATGCAGTAAGACTGAAGGTTGTCAACCTGACGCGCTTTATGGTCCTTAAGCTGTATGTGCAGAGCTGCAAGCCTTTGACAATGTAAAGCTGAAAGAATCGTAGCATGTTAAGTTCTTATACTGCAAGGTTGCTACGCCATATCACGTTCCAAAACGTGAGTGGTGATTCCACAACGACATCTCCTTATAAGATAAGTACATAAACATTAATTAAATTTATTCACTGTAAATTACACAGAAATGGAACAAAAAAAATCAGAAATTATACAACGGCTACAGCAACAACTAACCAAAGCCAAAGAAGTGGGGGACAGGGCTGGAGAGGGACGTGCCTATTGCAATCTTGGCAACGCTTGTAACAGTCTCGGCGATTTCAAACAAGCCTTGGAGTACCACAAGCAAGATCTTAGCATTACCAAGGAAGTGGGGGACAGGGCAGGAGAGGGACGTGCCTATGGAAATCTTGGCAACGCTTGTCAAGGTCTCGGCGATTTCAAACAAGCCTTGCAGTACCACAAGCAACNGGATAAGAAGATCAATTTATGGGTCCTCTCCCAAGGAAATGGTGTTCAATTCAGACAGAATAGCGTAGGAGGTCGTGACTACTTAGAAAGAGTAATGACAAACGCATTCAAAGATGGCGTTGGCCGCTGTGTGAGAATTAAGAATCGCACGTCGAGAAAGCTAGCAGAAGAATGGACGCGCGAAAACGAATCTGACATATCAGTACAGCTATCAAAGGGGAACAAAATTTCGTTGCGCCTTTTACATTGTAGTATTTTTTGCCCCGTTGCAAAATTGCTACGGCGAAGCGATGAAATTATCATTGTCCCGGATGGTGTGCTATGCTTGGCTCCTTTTGCTGCGTTTCTGGATCATACCTCAAGATACCTCAGCGACTCTTTCAGGATCCGAGTCATCCCCTCGCTTACAAGTTTAAAGCTGATCGCGGATGCTCCGGAAGACTACCATTCCAAGAGCGGGGCGTTGCTTGTAGGAGATCCATGTCTGAAGGAAATCACAAACATCTTTGGTCAGCCCAAAATGCCGCAGTTGCCATATGCCAGAGAGGAAGTAAGAATGATAGGTGAGATTCTTAACACCGCTCCACTTACAGGAAAGGCAGCAAGTAAAGATGAGGTCCTGAGACGAATCAGTTCGGTTGCCTTAGTACACATCGCCGCACACGGTCAATCTGGAAGTGGCCAAATTTATCTGGCTCCAAACCCGGCGCGGAAAAGCAAGTATCCTCAAGAAGACGACTATATTTTGAAAATTGCAGACGTGCGAGCCGTTCAGCTGCGGGCAAAACTTGTTGTGCTTAGTTGCTGTCATAGTGGTCAAGGAGATGTTAAAGCTGAGGGCGTGGTCGGTATTGCTCGAGCAGTTCTGGGAGCTGGTGCTCGTTCTGTTCTGGTGACACTCTGGGCAGTTGATGACGAGGCTACTCTGGAGTTCATGAAGAAGTTCTATCAACACCTGAGGGATGGAAAAAGCGCTAGTGTATCCCTTAGTCTGGCCATGAAGTACCTCCGGGAGACAGAAAAGTTTCGTGCCGTAGAGTACTGGGCTCCGTTTCAACTCATTGGTGATGACGTCACTCTGGACTTTAAAGAAATAGAGCACGGTAAGTAAATACATTTTGAAATCTTTAACATTTTTAACGCATTTGGTAATAGATGCAAATCTCTTTTGCTTGAAACTTAGCTATACAGTTTTCTAGACGAGCAACCCACCTTCCTTGATGGACTGGACAGCTTATGTTGGTTTCAAGTTGGCGCTTATTTTAACTTTTAGTTCTTGTTACGACTGTTTGACAACGGTAATAGATTTATTGTAGGTGTAGATGTTTTTGTAAGTAAAGCTAAATGTTTTTTTTTTTTCTAGGTTTTTTTTGTGTGTGTTATCACACCTTTCAAAAAACCTGGCCACTACAGTAGTTTTAGAAGCAGATCTCGATATTCGTTTTAAGTGTACCAGGAACCCAGAGTGTACTTTATGTACAGACAGAATATTTTACCAGACACGCAGTTATTTTTTTGCTCCTTAACAAAGTCAAACGTTCTTGAATTTAGTGACTTTTACTTTTTAATAATTTTGATGTATTCATAAAGTTAAGTAGAGTATGTGGTCGGAGAATATGCTTGCTGTGTTGCCCCACCAAAGTCAAAATCTGAGCTGGCTATTTTGAAATCAAGAGTAAAATGGTGGTGATGAGTCTTGCTTTTGTTGTCATAGTGTTGTAAGACATCTTTCAAGTTTCGTAATACTTGCTGAATCACAGAAAACGTCCAAGTCTGCCAGCTCACTTAAATGTTATTTACTTTTGCAGAAGCGGAATCCGTTGAAGCACAGAAGGGACCACACAATGGCTAAGGAACAAAAAAGTCTTCTTGTCATGCACATTTACAGTGGTATGTGATTTTTGTTTCTTTTCACTGCGAGGAATGATGACAATAATAGTAATAATAATTACTGACTAACGAAACAATAACCCGCTATTGACATTAGTCGAGGTTCAGTTTCTGCGAACATTTCATTTTCCAAGCAAACAACAGCTCTAGAAGGAATAGCAAGAAAAAATGTAAGCTTCAAGACAAGTCAAGAAAAATTTGTATTGACTTAGTGACTTAGTAAGCTGAATCGTTGTTTAATAACAAATGAAAAATCATGCTGTATTCTCTGTGTTATTTTTCTTATAGAATTGTTTTGCCTTTCTGTGTTGTTTTAGGATGGAAACCAGCAAAAAGAAGCAAGATGCTAATGACAGTGAGCCGGATAATAACAAAACATTAAGACGGCGATTTTTATGTCCTAGTATATATTGAGAATCGTGTTTATTCGAGGTTTACAAGATATCATATTAGAAATGGTAGTCTATTCAAGTTTGCCAAAAACTAGGAATGAATTTTTTTT